TATCACTTTATTTGACAGACAAATTTGCCTCAAATTTTATTATTTATTATTATTATTTTGAACTTTTAAATAGATTTGATGGAACTGGGATGCTAAACATTGTCTAAAACGTCTATGCAAATGTTTATTGTTAAAGACAAAAAGGTGTGATATTTTCTTAGTTTCCTTTTGAACGGTTGCTACCAGGGGGTCAAATCAAGAAGATGTTTGGGTGGTTACTAGTTCGGGTCACTTGCATATACTTTTTTTGGCGATTAACAATAACTGTTCGATTTATTGGGCAATATATATTTTTTATATAACTACTTTTTAGGGGGTTTTCTCCTTTATTCGATAGGACAGTAAAGAGAATTGACAGGAAAGCATGGGGGAGCAAAGAGATGGGAAGGATCGGCATAGAACCACGAGGCGGATTTCGTACTCAGGTCGCTGCGAGCGCCGGAGTGCATGTGTCGACTAACTAACCACTACACCACTGACACTGACAGTGCCAAGGTTTTAGCTTACCATCTTCTTGCCATAATCTGATAATAAAGACAAAGGGAAAATGATGTTTGAGGTCATTTTTTTTAAGTGACTTTTTGAATATATTTGACTGAATTAGGATGGTAGAATGTCAAAAATGTATGTAACCATAAAAGTCTTTACACTGTAAAAAATCCAACATACAAATTTTTAACTCAGATTAAAAATGTAAGTTAGGTGGACATATATATATTTCCCTATGTCCTCAAGCTGGGATTTGAACGCGGGATGCTTCAACGTGCTACTGCACCTTGTGTCGACACGCTAACCACTAGGCTATTGCGCTGACTGGTGGACATATTTTCAATTTTGAGTTAAATTTACTCATAAAAATTATTCGACTGCATGTTTGGAACAGTTTGTTAAATGAAAGTAAAAAATTCATTTGAGGAGACTTTGAATTTTGATTTATTCACGTAAGCGGTTACCACTGTAAAAATAAAAAGTTGAGTTAAATTACACTTTTTAAAGCAACGGGCTGCAAAGAAATTTTAAGTTTATCAGGCTTCAGTGGTTGAAGTTATTTGTAAAATTATACTCCACTTTTTATTTTTTACGGTGTACAAATTTGTATGGTTTGAGAAAATATCACACTTTTAAGATGCTACTAAATGCTACTAATTTCTAAAACATAGAAAATGTGGTTAAAAAAATGTGGAATACAGATAAAGATGAGTGATTTATACTATTAATCGTTTAAATTCACCTTTATTTCTTTAGAATCTTTTTACAATGTAGATTGTGTCAAATCAGCTTCACATAGAAGAGCATAATAAATTGAAATGGTGTAGGTTAGTTTTCAGTGTTTAACTTCAGTTTAGTTAAGCTCTGTTCAGCTTGTTTTACTACTCACTACTGAGAGTTCAAACACTGAAGAGTAATCCATCGATGCGCAGCTCTACAGATCCTGAACCATGCAAGCCAGTGGCTACTGCGGTTTGCATTAAATTAAACACAATTTGCATTAAAACACTTAAGATTTAATTACTTAAAATCTGTTGAAATTAAAAAGCTGAAGAAAGAATTGTGATCTTCACCAAAACGAAGGTTAAATTTTGTTTATTATGCAGTGACAAATTAAACGCAGCTCAACATTTTGCACAAAGTAACAGTTAATAGTTTAATAGCTTTCATTCTTATTGTTTTCATTTTAAAAGATTAATTAAATTGCTAATCGTAAATTGTTGAATGCCTTTATTGGATTAACTGTTTAGATACCATTTACATGACACTATTTTCAACTTATGATGTCTGTTTTATGTTGCTTGGCTGTCAATCTTCGTTTTGTTTTTCTCCGTCCAGTCCGCATTTAAAAATATCAACCATAAAAGCCGTCCAATAGTAGAAGCTGAAATGTTTTGTGATCGAAAGAAACACTGACATTTATTCCTGCTATAATATCACCTGCAACAACTATTTATTCAGGCTGTAACTTTTCTGTTGTCACTTTAACTCAAGGGTGTGTGTGTGTGTGAGAGTTACACATTTGATAGGGTTGTAAAGAACTGCTTTACTCCTCGCCTTTTTATTGGTGTGTTGCTTTAACTTTGTTCATTAAACAACATGGTAAATATCAAAGTTCACCAAGTACAATGAAGAGATTGGGCAACGTTTCTATAACTGGAAGCACAGGATTAAACGGTCATCAAGGTTTCAACCGCATCAGAATGTCAACAGTTTGTGTGTATTTAGCCTTTGTGCCCATATGATTTTAGTGGCAAACCTTTTCGCTGACTGTATTTAAATCTCTGCCCCAATGCAAACAAGCTCTGTTTGCATTCATGTAAAACAGCTATTTGTCTTTCATTCTAAATCATATCAGTCCAGGTTCGCTTTTAACATTTTTCATCCTTGCCTTTGGTCTCATTGAAGTGCCACCACATTGGTCTGTTACATCCGTTGATCTCTGTTTAATCCCATAACAATGTGAAACGCAAGAGACCGTACTATGACCCTGGATCTGTGGTTATCCATTATGATGTCACAGCTGTAGTGGGGTTGCCTTGCAGCACAGGTCGAACAGGATCATTTGCATGCTTTGCTGCAGAGCCACTAAAGTTATGTGCGTTAAATTTATATGCTTCTTTTAAATGCTTGCTAGGGTCAACTGAATGGTTGCTAGGGTCATTTAGGCAATTTTAGGGGTCTTGTGGATGGTTGATAGGAACATCTGTGTTGTTGCTAGTGTCTGGTGGACGGTTGTTCGTGAAGTATCCCTAAAACCACGAAAACACCCTAGTAACCACCAACATTACAAGGGTGTTCTGGGTGGTTTTAGGGCTATGTCAGTGATTTGGTCACTATTAGTTTGTTCCATGGTGAATTGAGCGATTTCTGGGTCATTTTAAGTGGTTACCAGGGTCATATTAAAGACATTTAGGTGGCATACAAGTTAGGGTAACTGCCTGCCCTACTGAAAAAAAAAACTGCTTAAACCAGCCTAGGTTGGTTGGCTGGTTTTAGCTGATCAACCAGGCTGGTTTTAGAGGGGTTTTGGCCACTTCCAGGGTGGTTTCCAGCCATTTCCAGCCCAGTCATAGCTGGTCAGGCTGGGAGATGACCAGCTAAAACCAGCTTGACCAGCCTAGCCAGGCTGGGAGCCCAGCCAAAACCAGCTATATCCAGCCTAAACCAGGCTGGTAAAGCTGGTTTTAGCAGGTCATTTTCCAGCCTGACCATCTAAGACCAGCCTGGAAATGGCTGGCAACCCGAATGGAAGTGGCCAAAACCCCTCTAAAACCAGGCTGGCCAACCAGCTTAGGCTGGTTTAAGCTGTTTTTTTTTTTTTTTACAGAGTGGGTGGTTGCTAAGGTCATTTAAGATCAATAATCAGTTTTTTGGACTTGAGGTTTTGGTTGCTAGGGTCACTGGCTTGGGTGTTGTGCTTTTTTGTGATGATGGCATGTATTGTGTTTGGGTGGTTGTCGGAACCTTTTTTTTAGGTGGTTTTCAGGGTCAGTTTGTAGTTGTTTATCTTTTTTTGTTTGTCATTTGGATGGTTGCTAGCAAGGGGGTCAAATCAAGAACATTATTGGGTGGTTACTAGTTAGGGTCACTTGAGTGGTTGTCTTCATGTGGTCAATTTTTAATTTTTAAATTTTTTTTTTAGTAGGGTGGTTGTTGGGAATTTAGGTTATTATTAGTGTCACCTGGGTGGATGTTATTGGGTTACATTTTTTTTGTCATTCGAGCAGCTTGGTTATCTGGGTCAATAGGTGAGTGCTAGCTTGGTTATCTGGGTCAATAGGTGAGTGCTAGCTTTGTTATCTGGGTAATTTCAAGGATCGTTTTGAAGGTTGCCAGGGCCTTTTTTGGGGATCTCTTATGGTCTTTTGGGGTAGTCATTCAAGACTTGTGTAGTAACTATTATCATGTCTTTTGAGGTTATTGGTTATGGTCACTTCACTTAAGTTGCCTGCAAGCGTAATTTTGGGTAATTTTTCATCTCTGCTGGGTGGTAACAAGCCACCAATCAAGGACCGTAAGGGTGTTTACTACAAGGATCACGTCCAAGACATTTTTGGGTGGTTACTAGTTAGTGTCACTTGAGTGGTTGTCAGGGTCATCAAGTGGTTCATGTTTGTTTTTTAGGGTGGTTGTAAGGAATTTAAGTTACCAGGGTCAGTTTGGTAAATGTTATTTGGTTAATTTATTTTGTCATTTGAGTGGTTGCTACAGTAGGCAAGTGTTAACTTGGTCTTCTGGGTCATTTCTTAAATATTTTTAAAGGTTGCTTGGCCCTTTTTTGTGGTATCTCTTTGGCTTTTTTTGGTAGCCATTTGAAACTTTTGCGTAGTAACTAATGTCATATCTTGGACCTTTTGGGAGGTTATTGGTTATGGTCACTTGAGTTGGTTGTGAGGGTTCTTTGGGTAATTTTTAATCTCTGTTGGGCAGTAACAAGGCACCTATCTAGGACCTTAAAGGTGGTTACTACCAGGCTCATATCCAGGAAATTTTTAGGTGGTTTCTAGTTAAGGTCACTTGAGTGTTTTTTTAGGGTGGCTGTTAGGAATTTAATTTGTGACCAGGGTCACCTGGGTGGATGTTATTTGTTTTTTTTTTGTTTTTGGTGTCATTTGAGTGGTTGCTAGGTGAAGGTCATTTCTTGGATCTTTTTGGTGGTTGCTAGGCCCTTTTTTGGGGTGTCTCTTAGGGGATGTTTGTGTAGCTATTTGAGACTTTTGGGTAGTAATGGTATATGGTTATGGCCAATTGAGTTGGTTGCAAGGGTCATTTAGGTGATTTCTAATAGTTGTTGGGTGGCTACTTGGCACATATCTAGGTCCTTGAGGCTGTTTACTTGTAAGGGTCATTTAAGTGGTTATTAGGGTTATTTTGTTTGTGTGATTAGCTAGAACCATTTGAGAAGTAGTTTATGTTTTTAGACAGTTTTCATTTGATCAGACATTTTAGGTTTATTAATTTGGTGAGTGCTTGTATCCTAACTCTGACTTTTTTCTTGTTCTTTCTAGTGTCTTCACTGTAATGGAGCTTCTGGTGGGCATGTCTCTTGTTTGATTGACATCTCACGCTAAAAGGAATGGACTACAGTGAAGAAAAGAGCGCGTAGAGACCACACCCTCAAAACACAATGAGGCTGAACTCGTCTTGAGTTGCCCAGACACACACTCCACACACTCACACCAACAAACTGTCTCACCATGGGCTCCGTGTACTTGTGGAAGTTGTCTTCCCAAAAGTTGGGTTTCTTCCTCGTGAGTTTCGGCTTCATTTGGGGGATGATGCTGCTTCATTTCACCATCCAGCAGAGGGCGACGCATGAAAGCAGCGCGCAGCTACGAATGCAGATACTGGACCTTAGCAAGCGATACATTAAAGCCCTTGCAGAGGAGAACCAAAGCGTGATGGATGGACCCTACGTAGGCACCATGACAGCATATGGTAAGTCTTTAAATTGCGATTTGTTTGTTGAAAAATTGCTGTGTGGAAGTATGTACGTGTATAGTTTTACTTTCCTGCCGTGGACAAGTCCTCCAGCATGGCGAACTGAGAAATGTAATATTAAGATCGCAGTGTTTGCAGAAAGATTGTAAACATGTCAACTTTAACCACACAGCTGTAGTTGACGTCTCATTATTAATATTTGTTTAAGAACATCTTCAGACTTTCCTTTAGCACAATATCTGCAAATTGGTTCAAACACATTATTCGTATTTCAGTTTTTTGTTGTTGTTTTTTAACACAATTTTTGATAATAATAGTTTGTTTAAAGGTTACATAAATGTGTTGCATAGTTTAAAAGTTAATGTTTGTTTTAAAAAAATTTACTGTTTTTGCAATCATCTGACGTAAGAAATGCAATTACAAACAAATTGATCTAACAATGGTCGATTCTTAAAGTATCGATTGTCAATTTACCACAAAATGTTATGGTCACATTATTTGTATTTAAGTTTTTTTTTTTTTTCCACACTTTGTGCAAATAATAATTTGTGTAAAGATTACATACATTTTCACAAAGTTTTAAAGTTAACGCTTTCGTTTTTTTATATGGGAATGTCAAAGATCTTTGCCATCAGTTGCGATCATCTAACGTAAATGAATGCAATTACATACAAAATGATCCAACAATGGTCCATTTATAAAGTAACGATTGTCGATCAACCACATAATGTTATAGTCACATTATTTGTATTTTTAATTTTTATTAATTTTTTTTTGTTTTTTTTTTACACTTTGTGTAAATAATAATACTGTGTAAAGATCCCATAAGTTTGTTGCATTGTTTTAAAGTTAACGTTTTTTTTTTTTTTTTTAATTTGGGACAAATTTCTGTGTGAAAGTATGTGTATAGTTTTACGTCCCTGCTGTGTACAAGTCCTCCAGCATGGCAAACTGAGAAATGTAATATTAAGATCGCAGTGTTTGCAGAAAGATTGTAAACATGTCCACTTTAAACACACAGTTGTAGTTGACGTCTCATTATTAATATTTAATGTTTAATGTTTAAGGACATCTTCAGTGTCAGTTGCAGTTATTTATTGTCAATCCTTTAGCACAATATCTGCAAATTGGTTCAAAGTGAATCAATCTTGACTTTATAATTGGTGTGAAAGTTATGTACATGTCTCGCAGTTTCAGCGTTAACATTTGTTTTCCTGGTTGATGTCGAACCAAGGGTTATGTCGAAGAACTTTGTCATCAGTTGCGACTTGATAATGTAAAAAATGCATTCGTGAAAATATGCGTTTATTTTATTTTTTTTTAATAGTTTTTTTAAAACTCTCGTTTTTTATCGATTGTCAATCGAACACAACATCACATAGTTACACTTCATATTTCTTGTTTTTATTTTTAAATATCAAAACATCTTTGTTGTTACTAATTATCTAACCAACTAACTAATAAATGCAGTTTTGTCAAATAAGAAGTGCAAAAGCAAGATCGTAATGTATTCAAAACAGTGAAATTATCCATTTATATAACTTTAAAATTTGATTACATTGTTTTCTAGTTGTTGTCGCGTTATCTACATTTCTTTAAATGTCTGTTTGTGAATGTAAAAATCTTTGCGAAGTCACATTTGTCTAGTGCAATCGCAATGACTACAAAATGATTAGTCTTGGCCTGTTCCAAATCTAACACTGCACATTTTAATCCAGATAGTTTAACATACCAGCTATGTCTCTTTTATTTTAAATTTTTTGGTTTGAGAGTGATAAAAAAATTGTCGTTTGTCACAAACAATGAAGCCACGTTTTTCTAGTGTGAGAATTGCAATTGCAATATCTGCAAAAAGGTTCAAAATGATTAATTCTTGATGATTTGTGTAAATAATAATCATTTGTGTAAAGATTACAAAACTTTGTAGCATAGTTTTAAAGTTAACGTTTGCTTTTTTTAAATTTGGGAATGTCGTTGATCTTTGCCGTCAGTTGCAATCATCTAGCATAAGAAATGCCATTTGCATACAAAATGATCCAAAAATGGTCCAATCTTAAAGTAATGATTTTCGATCGACCACAATGTTATAGTTGCATTATTTGTGTTTCACTTTTTTGTTACACGATTTGTATGAATAATAATACTTTGTGTAAAAATTACAGAATTTTGACAGTTTTAAAGTTAACGTTTTATTTTTTATTTTTATTTATTTATTTATTTATTTATTTTTGGGAATGTCAGATCTTTTCCAGTAGTTGCGATCATTTAATGTAGAAAAAGCATTTCCTAAAAATGGTTTATTCTTAAAGTAACGATTGTCAGTCGACCACAAAATGTTAGTTATTGTTCATATTTAACGTTTTTTTTTATTTCGAAACTTCATTGTTTTTGTAACTAATAAATAGTTTTATTAAACATAAGAATGAAGATCACTAAATCCGTAAAATTGTGAAATGATTATCTTAACGTAACTTTAACATATTTGTTTTTATTATTTATTTGAGAATGTAAAAATCAAAACAATGAATTCACTGTTGTCAAGTGTGAGAACTGCAATCATACAGTTGCAGCCACCAAGTAATCAAAATAATGCTGTCATTTTTTTTTCTTTTGGTTTGAGAGTGATTAAATCTTTGTTAGTCACAAACAACAAAGTCACTTTCATATAGTGTGCAAGTTGCAACCACAAGAGATTAAAAAGTTGCTGCAGAATGTGTCATCGTCACTAAGCCATTTTCAAAAACTGCATGTAAAAGTTCCAGACAACTTCCAGCCTTCATGTAAAGTTGATATGGGGCATTAAAAAAAGCCTTGAAGAAAAGCTGCAGGAATCCCAGAGACTGCAGGAGACTGGAACATTGCAGATGCGCCATTTGCATCCAGCAGTCCGTTTGAAGTGGGTTTTTTTTTTTTATATCAGCTGCATAAATCGACAAGGTTGCAGCACTACGACTTGTCATATCTCACCTCCTTTTTTTTTTTCCACTGCGTGTTTTAATCTATATTTAGCTCCCACGACGGCCCGAGGCTGCAGCTGAGAGGTGATGACACGCGGAAGTCACGTTTGTGTTCAGCCTCATCCATAACAGGCAATGTTTAAAGACTAGGAAGAAAAGCTGCAGCAGTGTCTGTTTTAGCCTTTCTCCCGGTACATCCGTCGATAACTTATTCATGCCGCTAATAGAGCGGCTCCATTGGGCAGGAGGCCTCATTACGGCCCACAGATGACTATCGATCCGCAAGCAAAGAAGACTCACACAAAACACAGCTTTTTTTTCAAACGGAGCGTCCACCTTTTTTAGCGCTAACAACTTATTTTACAGGTGAAGGAGCACTTTGTTGGGTTTATTGGGTCTGAGATTGTCAAGGGCTAGTTGTTTGGAAGTAATGTGATTGTATTTTGACCATGGGATTGTATCAGATATTTAACTTAATGCCTAGTTCACACTAGAGGATTTTAAGCCTGATTTGAGCCCGATTTGGAAGTTAACGAGCTCGCCGACAGATTGGGCTGTGATCGGGAAGAAATCTGCGGGTGCACGGCGCTCGCCGCTCTTTATGTGTGAACTAATGAACAACGCATCAACGAGGCTCGCTGACGCGTCGCCGACACCTCGCAGACGGAAATCCAACATTCAGCATGCTAAATATTCCAGAGCAGTCGGCCGACTCAACCCCACGTGTGGTCAGATGTAGTGACGAGCTGCAGCCAATGAGAGAGCATATCAGCATAAGCCTCGTGCCTGTGTGTTCAGGAGCTCAGCAGAAACATCTGTGATTGGTCAGAATGGGCATCGGTGCACTCGCTTCATTCTGCGTTAGCACAGACATGAGAGTAGACTATATTAACAGTGGAACTAGAATTCTGTAACTATTAGAATTACCATACTGCTCATTCTGACCGTTCTCATATAAAACGCCATATTGTCACAACATATTTACATTCAAAGCTATTAGTGAGGTATTAAAATTAAGCTTTGAATGTCTGGCATCATATTTAATGACACCATTACCCTAAAAATATAATATTTTTTTGGTAATAAAGCCTATAAATATGTAGTTAAGATACTAAAACACTTAATGGTCTTGGCTTTCATTTTCACTTTCAAACAGGAGCTATTCCGCACAGAATATGCTGTTTTGAAAGATATCTGAAGTGAATTGATGTTTTTGCCATCAGAAAGTTTTGTTTATGTTAGCAGGAAGTTGCTAGGCAAGAAAATGCACACATATTTAAAGTCACAGTGAAAAGTATCAGACATGCATGCAGTCATTTTGACCAATATGGTAATTAAAGGCAGAAATGCTCAGTTCTTTACTGTTTTGTAATAAAAAAATAACAATGTCAGAAAGAAATACACTGATAGTTAGAAAACGACAGGGTGTTATAAATATTTTTATTTCAAAGAGGTATACAGTTACAAAAATTAAAAACTCTCTGTGTATCTATCCTATCGAACCTTGCAGATGAGTGATTAATCCGCTGATAAATTAGCTGATTTGACGATGTTTTTAAATGCTTTCTCCAAAGCTTGAAACGCTGTCAGTGATGTCATCAGCACACAAGCAGCCAATAGTGTTCAGCTTTTTCTGACGACTCCTCCCTTAAATTTTCATTGGCTGTGGTTTGGTAGCTTGAATGAGCTGTTGGGGAATGAGTTGTAGTCAGATCATGTAGTGTGTGACCCCCCCCTCTTGTGGATCGTTCACGGAGTGTTGCGTAGTGTGAACACCACAGAGATTAAAAGACACAAAGTCAAGTCATGTAGTGTGAACAGCACAGCGATCTGCTGATGTTTAAAATCCTGTAGTGTGAACTAGGCTTAACTAACTTTAACTTAACTAACTTAACTAATTAAAACAATAAAAACCCAAATAAATAACTAAACTAGCTAACTAAATAAATAAGTAAATAAACAAATAACTAAATAAATAATTAAATAAATAACTAAAATAAATAATTGAATAAATAACTAAACCAAGTAACCAAATAAATA